TCCAGTAGGCCCAGTCCCAGGTACAGCACCTCCAGGGTATCCTACACCTCCTCCAGTAGGCCCAGTCCCAGGTACAGCACCTTCAGGATATACTCCAGCTCCTCCTGTTGTTGTAGTGCCTCTTACGGGACCACCAGGATATGCTACATCACCTCTAGTTGGTACAGTTCCCGGTGCAACACCTCCAGGGTATCCTACAACACTTCCAGTTGGCACAGTTCCAGGGTACATTATACCTGTTCCCAGTACAGTACCTCCAGGGTATATACCAGCTCCTCCTGTTGTAGTAGCTCCCGGTATGGTGCCACCAGGATACCCTACACCGCCTCTGATTGGTACAGTACCCCCTGGAGTACCTCCAGGATATACACCAGCTCCTCCTGTTGTTGTAGTTCCTCTTACAGGGCCACCAGGATATGGTCTACCACCTCCTGTCGTTCCTGGTATGACACCTCCAGGATAAGTAGGAACTCCTCCCGGCACAAATGCACCTGGATAAGTTCCACCTGGTACAATACCACTAGGATATTGTCCAGGTATTACGCTTCCCGGCCCAACCGGTCCAGTAGGATACGTTCCAGTTCCTGGTTTAATTCCTCCTGGATAAGTTTGCCATTCAGGGACAGTTTTTGGTCTCATAGTTCTAGGATATTGTTCAGTACCTCCTGTTGGTCCAGTTCCAGGTATCATACTTCCAGGATAATCTCCAGCTATCATCTTTCCTGGCGCTCCAACTCCCGGTCTAGTGACATACTGTCTATCTTCAGGTTGAACCTGTAATTTACCTGGGATTTGATCTACATGAACAGCATAATCCGGTTGATATCCTGGACAATCTTCGCATCCACTTCCGCTAGAAGACATACTTTGTGCTTGCCCCATACCGTTATTACCAGCTGAAATATTTCATTACGAATTACAAAAAGATATTTGTTAATCATTAAAACATGATTAGAAATAATCAAATGCATTACCAACAATTGCTCGAGACGATTGTTGAGTTGCTTCAGCTTCTGCTTTGCCTTCCGTTGACCCATCCTTACCAAGATGCAAATATTGCGATTGGGTTTGTCCACGGAATCTTCCACGAAATTGGGACGTTTGACGACGTGAACGAATTTTTTCAAAATCATCGTTCAATCTTTTTCGATTTTCCAATTGAATTTCTCTCTTGGCGCGACCGATTAATGGCGCCAATACAAGATCCGATATTCTTTTGGATGATACATAATTTTCATCGATTATTTCGTTCAAAAATGGATCCATATTGTCTCTTGCCATTGGTTTATGTTTTTGTAAGAGATACATATCACGTCCTTGACAAAAATTTACTATACGACCTCCTGCTTTTCGCCATGCCTTATTTAAAAAAAAAAGAAAAAGAAAAGGTGATTAAACATTTTGATAATTGTATTATTCTTTATTATTAATAAATAATTGTTACCTCAAGTTTTGTTAATGTTTGATTTGGTACGTAAAGTATCGTTGAATATTTGTTCTCATGACGTTTTGTTGAAACATCATGTTGATTATTTCTCACATAATCTTCTTTCAATTTTTCCAAATAACAGATATTTTCTGTTCTATCTTTATAAGCAATGTATAACTGTTTAAAAAATAAACAAACGAATCCATTAATAATCTATCATTATAAATAACTATTACCAAAAAAAAAAAACAAAAGAATGAAAAAGAAATTCAATTGTCAATTTACCGTTTCCTCATCGGTGAAAGTCCATTGTTTGTCGGTGAATTCTTCATCAAAGTTATCATTAATTGAACGATCAAAACGAGATTTTTCCTGTAAAGAGAAAATCAAATTTTTGTCATCAATCTTTCATCAAATTCGTTGTACTACGTTAATCAAGATCATAATTAAATATTAAAATGTTTCAATCAAATTTTTGTCATTTAATGTCTCATGAAATTCGATGTACTACGTTTGTCAAGATCAGAATTAAATATTAAAATATTTGAATCAAATTTTTGTCATTTAATGTCTCATGAAATTCGTTGTACTACGTTAATCAAGATCATAATTAAATATTAATTTTAATTATGTTTGTTCAATTGTTATGTTAATTCATATATTTTTATGAATGAAATTTTTGTTATTAATCTTTCATCAAATTCGTTGTACTACGTTAATCAAGATCATAATTAAATATTAAAATATATGAATAAGTTTTTTGTTGTTAATCTTTCATGAAATTTGTTGCACCACGTTAGTCAAGATCATAATTAAATATTAAAATATATGAATGAAATTTTTGTCATTAAGGTCTTATGAAATTTGTTGTACCACGTTAATCAAGATCATAAATATTAAAATATATGAATGAAATTTTTGTCATTAAACTTTCATCAAATTTGTTGTACCACGTTAATCAAGATCATAAATATTAAAATATATGAATGAAATTTTTGTCATTAATCTTTCATCAAATTCGTTGTACCACATTAGTCAAGATCATAATTAAATATCTTCTCGAACTTTCACGATGTTATTTCATATCTTATATTTGTAACAATAATATTCTACATGGAAAGAAAGTAGGACTAAAAATAAAAAAAAAAAATGCGGGATAGACAAATCGGGAGCAGGCCAAGTAAATTTCATATCGGTTTGAAGTTTATCACTTCTTGAACTTTGATCTTCAAATATCACATAGAAACATTTTCTAGTAAAATGAATCAGATTTGTGATTCGTGTTAATAACCTTTCCCTTTTACTGTAAACTATGAATCACTTGTTAGTAACATTATAAATAATTCAAATACACACGTTTCATCATTCAATTAGAATATCAAACAATTATAATGAAATATTCAAATAAATTATTCATGATTACTTATTAAAAATAATAATTTTAAATATTTTCAAACAACAAAAAAAGAAATAATAATCATAATAATAATAATAATAATAATAATACGTATATAGTAATAGGATCGTATAAAATAATACGATTATTATAACTACTACCAACAATATTTTTTATGCTAACTCGTAAAAATATAACCGTAAGGTAATACTTTCTCAACAAGTTGAAATTAGATCAAATTTATCGTTAATTTAAAGTACCCTTCACTTTTAACACTAAACGTGCAACTTTTTGAACACGTCTTTCATTCAACAATTTTTCATTAAACTATTTATAGTTAATATTGAAAAGATAATACAACAAAAAAAGTGAGATAATATATGAAGGATTATATTAATAATAATAATAATAATAATAATAATAATAATAATAATAATAATAATTAACTTACAGAATAATAAGATAAAACTGTATTTATGAGACAGATCAGTATAAATAAGATCAACCTCATGATTTAAGCTTCTTCTTCTTCTTCTTCTTCTTCTTCTTGTTCAAGACACTTCTACTGTTAACTTCTACGTTTAGAAAGATCTTCTTCTTTGCTGGCAAGTTGTTTAACTCCCACTCTGTTCACTCCTTCTCCTCTTCTTATTCTTTTCCCACTTCCTCTTTACCACGGTTTCACTCATACTCTTAAATATTATACTTCATTTAACTATCATGTCAAATTTAATGTAATATTAATTGAAAAAAAAACAAAAAATTGAACAATTATATTAACTAATATAAAATGTTTATTTTAGAATTTTCTAAGATTTAATTATTTCATTTTAAATCAACATCGTTTAAATAATGCTGTCTTTTGTGATTTTATTCTTATACGAACTGATAGGCAAAAATTCTTAGAAGAAAACTGTTATCTATACACACGTTCACAGCTTCAGATCTTGTTACCTAAACTTATAATACGAATATATATGTGTTTTTACTTGACACAACCAAGATATTCTTTCAAGAAGACTGATAATTATTAATAATATAAAATATATAAATTTTGTATTAATAACATTAACATTATTTTATATATATATAAATTAAATTATATATCAATTAAAGATAATATTAATTTAATTTTGTTTTTTAATTTAAATACATATTTTATTATTAATACAAAAATTAAAATGCTATCTCTTGTTTTTTTTTTTTTATTTATGCAATTAATTTAATTCATATTAATTTTGTTCTATTTTTAAAGAGTATCATTTAAATAAAAGATATAATTGAAAAAAAACAAAAAAACAAAAACAAAAATGGAAATATTAAGTGTACCAATTATATTTATTTTCATTGACATGAATCGAACTTAATGTTACTCAATAAAACGTTGTTGAATAAGAGAGAAACGTTTTGTAAACGATCGTCATAATTATCGATCGAAATGATTTCTTCTTCTTCTTCTTCTTCGTCTTCTTCTTCTTCTTCTTAGTTTGTCCTAATTTATTGTGTTCAATTCATTTATTAAATACAGCGAGACTAGCTGTTTATTTTAGTTCAAAGCATAACTAACGATCGTACGGTTCATCAATCAGATAAATGGGTAAAACCGATTAATAATAAAAATATAATAAAATGATTGACATATAAACTACTTTCCCTTTTTTAACTATTTCAAATATCTTTATGAATGATTTAATGTTATTTTTTATTTAAATAAATGATAGATAATAAAAATATATGTAAAAGATAATGCGTTATATATATATATATACATATATGTATATATTTCTAATTGCGATGAACAAATAGTTTTACAATTCGTACAAAAAGTGATTAAAATATTCGCATAAGGCACTCTCTGGTACTACAAATGGCACGTACAATTATTTACAATAAACAGCTTATCGAACTGTCTTTAATACGACTACGTAAATTCTTCTTCTTCTTCTTCTAATTTTTCTAATACGACAAATATATTGGGAATGCTATTTACAATGTTTCGAGTTAAATGATTACAATTGATAAAATGTTTAAAATGAAGAAATAAAAATAAAAAGGATGAGAATCCTTTTTTCTTCTTCTTCTTCAATTCATCGATGATTGCAATTAAATCGATGATTTTTTCAAAAGTTATTTTTTTCTTTTTTTTATGATCCTAAAGAACAATAAAAATTATTATAAAATAATTTTTCTATAATAATTCTTTTGACTAAATATATTTAAGTTTTTATTAATAACCGTTGCCACACTCGAGTTCTCATGGTAACCACCTCACTCGTGGCAAATTTCTACCTTACCGAGCTATGATAACATTCTTTTCTTGTTTCATACTTTTCAACATTTCATTTGCCAATTAAAAATAAATTTTTAAAAAAGAATTCTACAAAAAAAAAACAAAAGAAATTCGCATGAATAATTTTGAACGATGCAAAGGGGGTTACGCTCGTTGTAGCAAAACGGACTCGACTAGTTCACACTCAGATTCTTACCGACGGTCGGTAACGAATGAAACAAATGAAAATAAAAATTCTTAAATTATCATACAACTTAAAGATAAATCATCATACTTATACCACACATACAAACATTAACCTCTATTACAATTTTGTTTTGAATCACAGATAGAATACATTCGAGATAATTAATTATTATAATTATAAAGTATCTTATTTTAAATTGATGTTTAAACATTTCTACGGATTTATTTTCACGATTTCTTATTAGAAAATAATTATTAGATTATACTTATGAAATAATTTACAATTAATTCGAGCTAAATCTAATGTGACATTGTTTTTTTCATTTTTTTCTTTTTCATTCGAATTTATAAAATATTCGCGATCGCCATAACCTAATTTAAGGCAATTGGTAAATACTATTATTATACAGTTCTAATATCACTATGACTTCGCCAATGTTCTTTTTGTTTGTTTTTTTTTTTTTTTTGACTAAGTACTCTCGTACGATTTATTTACAATCCGAGGCATCCTTTTTTAATCAGCTGCCTTGAAGAGCACGTGAAGCAAAACATTGTATCGATGAATTTTCATTCTAAACATTATTGTACCAATATGGCCGCTGTAATTCCATTCGAGATACATAATCGTGTATTTTGAAAAATATTTCTGCCAGTTCTGATAATTTTGAAGACATGATCAATCGTAATAAAAAAGAAGCACGCCATTTAAAAACAATATGATGATTATAATAATGTCTAGAAACGTTAAAATATTAGTAACAACTATTTTCTACATGGTCCCTAATTAGGAAGATACTTTAGACAATACTCGGTATATATATACACATAATGGTTTGTTTAGAAAAATTATTTTTAAAAAGATCAGCACATTGTCATGATAACGTGTCGAAAATCGATACCTTTTTGACAATCTAAATAACATAACCTAAAATATTGATTTCGGTCTTTCCCAATTTTACGCGATAGCTAAATTTAGTGTCATCGTAGTGGGAGGTGGTCTCGAGAAAGCAGAATTTCTCGTTGATTCGTTATAATCAAAATTATTGGATGATTTTTTAGGATCATTGAATCTACCCAAATGTTCTGGATTGGGTGATATCACCGAGGTTCTGATGACCATGCTTGAAACTATCTCAGTAGTTTTGTTATCTTGCGATTTCCCATGTAATTCTTTGAACATACGTTTGGCTGAAGGTGGTGAAGTGTCACATTCATTAACACCACTACCACCAGTGTGTTTGATGATAGCTGAAAATGCGGACGAATGACAATTTTGATCACGTTGAATAGACAAACGTGGAACTATAACACTGGTTGGTGATGCAGTCATACAGGAACTCGTTGTCGTTGTTGTTGTTGTTGTTGTTGTACTCGTCGTGGCCATTGCCGTCGTTTTCGTATTCCGTTGTTGTAAATCGTTGAAACTATCCAAAACTGTTGATACAGGCTCGTTCGTTCTAACCGTAGTTGTTGTTGGAGGTGTTGTTATCGATGATGATGATGAAGATGATGATAATGATGATGATGAATTCGTCTTTCGTTCGTTAGTTTCGTTTTTATCCATTGATGATTTATGATGAGCTCTCATACAAGATGATTCTTCGTGTTTGTAAAGATATGATTTTAAAGCAAACGCTTTACCACATCTAGCGCACACATGGGGTTTCGTGTTAGAATGCGTTTGTATGTGTGCGCGTAAATTCGATTTGTCGGCGAACGCTTTGTTACAGATCGTACATTTAAATGGTTTCTCACCTATCGTTGATAAAGACAAACAAAATGGAACATAATTGTAAGAAGATGATTTTATTGAGATTAAATTTTTAAATGCATATATAGAATAAAATAATAATTTACCTGTGTGCGTGCGTATGTGTCCTTGAAGCAACCATGGCCTGGAAAAGCACTTGCCACAATAATGACACTTGCAACCCTGATTATGTGTCCTAACGTGCATACTGAAGGCAGGCATACTGACATAAACCTTGTCACAATGTGGACACCTCCTGGCCTTCTTGTCACCCAATGATCTGTGAGTTTGCCTGTGTCTTGCAAGATTTGACGATGTTGAATACTTTTTCCCACAATCGGGACACTCGTGATCCTCGTTATCCTCATTTTTTGTTGTTTCCACGTTACTCTGAATAGTTCTACGTATTTGTTGAGCAATAACAGGATTTGGTTCACTGACATTATTTGTCTTTGTTGATAATTCAATTTTCTTCTCAGTCGGTAATGTAATTTCTTCTCGTAAATGATGCGTTTGACTATTATTATTATTATTATTATTATTGTTATTATTATTATTATTATTATGATGATGATTTCTATGATGAATACGTTGATGATGAGGTGACAGTCTTTTAATTCCAACTACCTCTTGTTCATTTTCAATATTCTCGTAGAATAATCTACTTTTTTCCAAACTTTGTTTATCCTCAAGTGTAGTTCGCCGTTCCTGAATTCTTTGGGGTTGATGATGAAGATTATTATTATTATTATTATTATTATTATTATTATTATTATGATGGTGATGATAATGATGATGATCTTTAGATCTGGGTACAATAGTTCTATGACATTTATCAACGGTTTCGTTAAATCTTGGTGAACTTGATCGTTGATAGATCACATTGTTAGGATGAATTAGGGTACCAGCTGCTGCAGCAAGGCTAACTTCCGCAAGTTTCGTAAGGTTGTACAATTCTTCAGGACATTCCGAGGAGGTCTCGCTACCGCATTCGCTAGCACCATCGGAAGTAGGCTGAACACTGCCATATTCTGCTAACCTAACCCCTCGTTCAGGACTTTGACCTGTGGTATATGAAAAAGAAATAATAAAATGTTCATTGTTCTTGTTTTAGTTTATCATTTAGAATATTTGTAGCATTTATCTTTGTCTTCGTGCGTTCAACGTACTCGTGAACATATATTATCAGATGGTTTAACATCGAAAACGTTGAAAGCTCGAGTGTTAACAATACCAAGTTGGATCTGGCAAACTTCCAATACCGAGTCTCGAACTCGCATAAATTCCTATCGACAACCACCAACTTTTTTTTCCTGTCTGTGTTTCTTTCTTTTTACCAGTCACGTAAAGTAAGAAACGGAAGTAAGGTTAGTTTTGAGATAATCTTGATAACGATAGGATTACTCGTATTATTCTCAAAATAAAAATGTGATTTATCGATGCTTTTAAAACTCTACAGGTGGTTTGTGTGTATATGTATTATGTGTGTGTGTGTTCGACGTTAAATAAACACGAATTGAATCACTCGAATTACATACTTTTGGATTAGTTTACATTAGATCAACAAAAGAGAAAGAAATAATCCTGTATTGTTCATTTGTTTAATCATTTGTTGCTTTTTGATCGTTGGAAAGTTTCTTATGTTAACTTTTTGATAGAATTTTATCGTTTCCGTTAACCGTGGTATACACTGCTGCTTTTTATAATATCAACCAAATGGGATTTTGGTTATGAGCAGTAAATCCGAGCAGTAAATTTTAGGATGGTTCGTGAAACACGTAAAGCAAAGCAAAGCAAAGCAAAGCAAAGCAAGGCTAGGCATGGCAAAGCAAGCGCAAGCACTTTCGAGAGCTTTTGCTTCGCAGCTCCGTTTTTGGGGAGAACGGAAATAGCGTGCTTCATTTTCTTTCTCACTCTATCTAATTCCGCGTATTTTCGAACGCGTGTGTGCGTGTTGCTTGAGCTTGTAAAAGAGCTTTGGAGGGGTTGACGGTATGTATGCGTTCGTAAGAATTTTGTGTGACGCATCTAGTATCCATACTATTCTTAAATCTTGAAAATATTCAACTCTAATTTATAATTATTAGTTAAAAAACATGAGTTTTATATTCTTTATCTGTTTTTATGCTTATCAAGTTGTATGAAAGCTTCAATTCATTGATTTATTGAATTTATTAGATGATATTCATTGATTTTGACAAATATCAATTTAATTTTGATTATTTTTGATTAGGTACTCAGAAACAAAGGTTTTTAATTCTAATTCTAACTTAAAAACAACAACCCTTTTATAATATTTAAAATAAAAATCAATCAAAATAATTCACAATGTTTAAAAATAATTAATCCTAAGTTATTTTATTCACCAAAGATGCAAAGATAAATGTTTTCTAATTTAATCTGAACATTAATTAAATTATTTCAAGATAAAATCAAAATAAAAAATATTCGCACCTCCAGCGGAAGTATCGAACTCCTCCTCGACGCCGTTGTATCGGCGATGAGTTATCAGAAAAGCTCTCGGCATTGTTTTTTCTAGTTTTTTTTTCTTCCCCTTCTTTTCTTTAGTTCTTCTTCTTATCTTCCTACTTCTTCTTTTTCTTCTTCTTTTTTTTTCACCACTTGATATATTTTTTTTCAAAGTATCACACAAACCATGATTGGTTTATCCTCCTTTTAACTTTTCGAACAACAAATTATTTTTGTGATTGAACAAAATTACACATTGAACTCAACACACGCGAATTCTTTTTTTCTTTTTGTTTTGTTTTCTGGTCAAATCAAAATTATCCTCCCTTCAAAGAAAAAAAGAAGAGAAAAATGATTAAAATAAAAAACAGAGTAGAACAAGGGGTTGGTTGATTGGTTGATTGGTTTATTGGGCATGGAAGAAAAAAAAATCAGTGAAATGAAATTTGCCGTTTCGACGATGACGACGTGAATGGTAAAAAAAAAAAGATAAAAAAATAAATAAAAAAAAGAAGCCCTCCTCGCGCGTTGTGTTTTTTGAATTCGTCGGAGGGAGGGGGGTCACAGGGGTTGCGTACGCCTCGACAATTTCGGGCGCAATAGTTCCTCTGGCTAAGTTTCGGGGCTACATATAGGAGCGTAACACCTCCCTTACTCCACTCTGCCCTTCATCCTCCACCTCTTTACCTTCTTCTTCTTCTTCTTCTTCTTCTAGCACCACCACCACCACCACCACCACCACCACTTCTTCATCGTCTTCTTCTTCTTCTTCTTCTTCTTCTTCTCGTTCAGCTGGCGGAGTAGCTGCTAAACGTGTGTGGTGTATTCCTTCATACGTTGAACATCACACATCTGTGTGCATATAAGTGTACACTGTCCCCTTCACCCTTCCTCACTTCCCCATCCCCTATTTTATGTTCAGGGTGTGTATATCTATGTATTATAAGATTTAAATAGTATGTGTGAGTTTTCTTTTAACTAATATGCGAATTCTCATCATAGTTCTTCACATGTACACCTATTATTTTTTAATGTGAGATACTTGAGAATATTATAATTGACCAATGATGAACTAGGATAGTGTTTGCAACATTCTATCACCATTATTATTCTACAAACTAACCCTTCTTCATCTTATTTATTGTTAAACACCCGGTTTTTTTATATTCGCGTAGGCGGCAGCTATTTTTTTCTTTTCCTTTTTTGTTTTTGTTGTTATTATTATTATTATTATTGATAAAAGGGATTATTTATACGAGGACTTTGTATGACCTCGAAGAAAATTGTCCACTCGTTTTTTTTTCTCTCTTCTTCTTCTTCTTTTTCATTTCTTTTTTTTTTCGTTCCTTTTTGTATCTTTGTTCCGGTGTTGGAAGTTCGAGTCATTAAATAGAAGCGAGAGATAATTAATAGCACGCTTGGGATAGATAAAAATATCGAGGATCGAAGAAGAAGGAAGGGTACACCCTTAACGTTAATGGAAATATGTATTTTTAAAAGAAAAAAAAATACTACTACTGTTTTTTATTTTTTTTTTTTTTTGAATATCGAAGATTCATTTATTTGTTGAAAGAAAAAATCAGCTGAAAAATGTTCCACCGATTTACATTGCTGATTTTTAAAAAGCCACCTATCGGCAAAATCTGCAAACATTTATTTACCAATCCAATACTTTGGTTTTTTTTTTAAATATCAAAGTTT